AAGTAGGAAGGAAGCGTCTCAGCTTCCTCGGACCAAGACCATTCGACTCAGCACCCCGAAGACTACAACTGGTGAAATTTTAATTTTTGCCTTAACTTCCCCTTTAATTATCAACAAGCATCCTGATTTACATTATTCAAGCGTTATGGCAAGATTGAGGTACTGTATCTCTTTCTTGCTATTTAAATGGTTTGTAACGTGCTTTCGTGGATGCAGGGCTTCCTATTTGCGTCGCTCGTTTGCAGGCATGCTTGGTAAAATATTTTTTTTCCTTGTTAATAATAACGACCTACTTCTTGCGTAGGGATTAATAATTATCCGATCGACGATGGTCATTAACCGTATTGCGTTACTGATCCTTTCAATGTTCTAATCTTTCAAGTGACGTTTCCTTTTCTACCTGGACGCCTCCTTGTTTTCCCTTTCCTCTCTAGCTCCTCTCTTGTACCTTTTTATTTAATTTTTATTATTATTATTTATTTATGGATTCCCAAAGGTCGAGGCCTAAGTCGAGGGGTTCTCCGTTCATGGCTTACTGGGAATATATCTGCAAATTTATAACATTATAGATTGAGAAGGGGAAGGGTTATAACAAATGCGTACTGTAGAAATCAGCCATATCATTCGTTACTATGTTATAGAAACTCTGGAAGGAATGAAACCAGCGGGTTCGAAGCGGGTGTTGGCAAAGATGGTACGGACACGAGACACAAAGCAATGACTATTTTGGGTGGTTCTAATGTCAGTGGGGGGAGAATTCCAGGTGGCAGCGGTAACCCCCCCCCCCCTTCTTGCTAGTATTCACTTAAATGTGGGGCTTTGAATAAAACAAGTTGACTACTCATACAGTGACTATGCTGCACTAGGCACCGTTCGACTGCGGAACCCCTAAGCAGTCAAATATAAGCAGTCATTTTAGCCCTAAGGAGTGAAATATGCCGGAATATAACAGTCCCAAGAAGAAGAGAAAAGTATCGCTGTCTGCTTCCCTACCGGACATCGCCAGCACACCGTCCAAGGACGGCGGTGACTCCAGCGGTGGCGAACTGGACCTGTCGGATCTTCTCGCTGACGGTAATGCCGTGTCTTCTGCCCCGCTCCGGTCAATCCATCCGCCGACGCTTTGTCGCTTTCCAGGAATATAACAGTCCCAAGAAGAAGAGAAAAAGTATCGCTGTCTGCTTCCCTACCGGACATCGCCAGCACACCGTCCAAGGGCGGCGGTGACTCCAGCGGTGGCGAACTGGACCTGTCGGGTCTTCTCGCTGACGGTAATGCCGTGTCTTCTGCCCCGCTCCGGTCAATCCATCCGCCGACGCTTTGTCTTCGATGGAACGTCTCCATAGGGAACGTCTGGACAGGGAAGAGGAAAAGGCCGTGTCAGTAACAAAGCATCCTCACTCCGGTGGTAAAGCTATGAAGATGGCCATGGATAAAGGAGCAGTGGCGCGTGGTAGGAAATCTGCAACCAAGTCGATACCGCCCAAGGCCCCGGGGACGGGATTCGATCCAACTACAACTGTAGCCTGCACGCCGAAAGTGACTTTGGTCTTGGAGATGCATCATCGTGGTAGTTAGATCATGTCAGTGCAGCCTGAAAGGTATGATGTCATACTAAGGACAGATGATGGTGTCATCAATGACTCATCATGATGTAAAGATGATGTCATCGTGACCTTTAGTTTCTCGTATTCTCACTTGAATGTCTGTCTATGACTATGATACATTGTACTCGGCGGTATTATAATTATGAAGGAGGCACAGCTTGTTGTGCAAGCTGATGCTCTGAAGCTATTTCTGCTAGCATGTCATGTTCTCCTTTTGCCTGTTATTTCCACGGGCAAGCCTTGAGTGCGCGTGCGTGCGTGTTTGTGTGTGTGTGGGGGGGGGGGATGGGAGTGGTGGTGGTGGTGGTGGTGGTGGTGGTGGTGGTGTGTGTGTGGGGGGGGGGGGGGGGGAGGAGTGTGTATGCCCGTACTCTGCAGTGCACGTTGGCCTGGACGGGTGTCGTCAGGGGAACAACAAACCCCAAACTGGCATGCGGGTGTGAGTGATATTGTCCGTACGGTTCATCTTCTATTTATCTTCCTCTCGTCTGAGTCACGTTGGTGCGAGCGCGCACGTGGAGATGCTCCAGTTTTCAGCCATGTCGTCTGTTCCGTTATTACGAGTGGCCATGCATGCTATTGTTCTACTGACGCTGATAATTCTCTCCTTCTGTCTAGTCGCGTTCTACTCTGCTTCTCTGTCTCTCTTCTATTCTGTTTCTGCTTCGAACGTGTAGTTGTTTGAGCTGCTCTCATGATAATTTATTTGTATTTTTGAAACCCTTTGTACCCATGATCATGCGCTTGTAAGTTGTAGTTGTACAACTGCGCTGTGCTGTATGACTGAGCTATGACTATGACTATGAGTCATGCTCGCACTATGATGTCTTTTGTGTCACGTGTACGTGTATGTCGTGGCGCAAGCGCCCTGTGCCTTTGCTGGCCCTTTTTTGCTTCCTTTTGCAGTTTTGGTTAGAGAGTTATGCCGGTTATGGTTGAAGTGTGTTTGCAAGGAGAAATCCAGAACGTCTAGTAATGGTGTGTTGTCCCATTTGCGTTCGGAGAGTGTGCCTGTGCACGTGTATCGATATTTTGAATTCTTGCCTGTAACAGTCGCCAATATCAACAGTTTGTATAGCCTTCAAGATTCCCAAAGCCATGCAAATGTCACAGGTTATCTTTTCACCAAGGACACTGGAAAGGCAACGGATGTGTACGAGACTCGTACTGAATGTTGATGACCTGGCCATGCCACTGAAGGCTACTGTATACCGTAGTGTCTCGTGTAGAAGCCTAATGTCTCATAAATTATAGAAGCCTGTTTTGAATACAGGCCTCATCTTCCAGATACGCTGTCGGCACAGTAGCCTGGTTTTAGTGTTGACACACATAGAAATACCTGGTTTGAATAGAAGCCTGTTTTGAATACAAGCCTGATCTTCTAGATACGCTATCAGCACAGTAGCCTGGTTTTAGTGTTGACACACATAGAAATACCTGGTTCGAATAGAAGCCTGATGTGGATAGAAGCCTAGCCCTGGCATCGGCTTCTACAGGAATAGGCTTTATACGTATCTAATATTGACTGAGTACGAGGTCAATATAGGAAATAAAAGCCGAGTAAAAGACCGAGGCGAAGCCGAGATCTTTTACGAGGTCGTTTATTTCCTATGCTGACCAAGTACGAAGTCAATATTAGATTAATCTGACCAACGCATGTGTTCAATCGCTAAAAAGGAGTCGAATATAAGCGGTCAATATAGCCCTAAGGAGTGAAATATGCAGGAATGTTTGACTGCTTAGGTATGGCAAAAATCTATGTGAGTCAATACTAAGGGAGTGATAAACGACATTACGGTAATAATCGTCTGTTTGCTTTCTTGACTTGTTGAAAGTGCTCAGCAAAGACTTTAGAAGTGCATGCTAGATGTCAGCGGATTTATAAAGGTTACAAGTATGGTGGAATCGAATTTTGCTACAACTGTTGTTGATTTTAATTCGCAAATCCAAGTGAGAGAGAGAGAGAGAGAGAGAGAGAGAGAGAGAGAGAGAGAGACATAGACAGAGAGAGACAGAGACAGAGAGACAGAGAGACAAAATGAGGGCTGAGACCGCTACAACAGGGCTTAATTTTAATTCGCAAATCCAAGTGAGAGAGAGAGAGAGAGAGAGAGAGAGAGAGAGAGAGAGAGAGAGAGAGAGAGAGAGAGAGAGGAGAGAGAGAGAGAGAGAGAGAGAGAGAGAGAGAGAGAGAGAGAGAGAGAGAGAGAGAGAGAGAGAGAGAGAGAGAGAGAGAGAGAGAGAGAGAGAGAGAGAGAGAGAGAGAGAGAGAGAGAGAGAGAGAGAGAGAGAGAGAGAGAGAGAGAGAGAGAGAGCACAACTGCTCAATGACAAGGCAGCGAACATGTTAGGCAAAGTTTCACGCTTGAGCAATTATGTCCCAAACATTATTCTAGTATTGAAGTTGGAACTGAGAATAGGATCTTGTAATATGCCTGGGAAAGTAAGTGAAGAACAGTTACTTTTGAACGAGGAATACAGTGGACCTCTTTGGAGGTGCTGCGAATGATTAGAATTGGCGAGTATCAGATTTCTAATGGACAAAGCATGCAGTGCGAGTGGCTAGTGCAACTGCAGCACTTTGCCGGCCCGCGAGTAGTCCGCGACTTCACCAAAGCACCTCAACTGATACAGACATCTACCTTATTTTATCGAGGTAAATTTGATCATCGGAGTATCAGCCCCGCCCCCCTTTTTTGATGAATTTGAGTGTTCAAAGTGCGGCTCATCCTCCGTAGAATAAGGTTAATGTAACTATAATTATTATTATAAACATGGATATCAAGCACCATACATGTATGATTGTACGCAAGTAGCAGGAGGGATCCACCGGCGGGATTCGAAGCCTGCACCCCCGTCTTTCCGGAACAGTGCACTACCGATTCCATTCGGCTACCGGGGATCGCACACAGCCGTGGCTCCTTCTTGCTACATGACCCCCCCCCCCCCCCCCCCCCCTACCCACTCCCGCCCCCCACCGGCCAGTAGATATGGTGTGAGTACACAGTCTGTTGTGCCGGGGAGCAGTGCAGCAAGAAGAATCCACGTCACGAGTGTATGTGATCCCCGGCAGCCTAGTCGGTACGAGGTAACTGTCCCGGAAAGACAGTGGTGCTGGGTTCGAATTCCGCTCGTGGATCCCCTTCCCTTGCAACACATACAGGATTTCACTGTTACTAACTTAAAAGCAGTGGCTATAATCATGACACTACTCACGAGTGTGCTTCCCAGCAAATACGTACGAAGACTAGAACTGCATGGGAACTTCTTTTTCTTCCCAGTACAAGTACTATACAGTCCTATTATTTTATAGTGGAAGATTCACACCAGCTTGCCAGGCAGTCCATACCGCAAAGGGTGATACTGATCCACAAGTGAAGTGCACGGAAGAGCTTGAAAGTGAGAGAAACCAAGTCGACTTTGAAAGGAAAAATATCAGGGTGCGTACACAATTGCATGAGGAAGATTAAAGTCCAATGACATCATTCAAACCTGGGTTCAATGCACAATGAGGTCATCCAGACCTAGATCATAGAGTAATATACCTAGATATCAAAAGCAATGAGGTCATCCAGACCTACATATCAAAAGCAATGATGTCATCAAGTCTAGGCATAGCATTGTAGCATGGTAGCAAGGCACAAGGTGATGCAGTCCGTTACATGTACAGGTAGGTACATGACTGTCTAACAAACAATAGAGAAATGGTAAAATAGGATTTGTGAACAGCATGATCATGATCAGAGGCAAGGAAACCGAATTCTGCGTGTGCATTGTCAATGTAGGTATTGATATGTACAGGTAATGTAAGGATGGAGTTACTCTAGCATATTACTATAGTATACAGTACATGGGCTACAGAGAAAAGTAGAGAAAATCTGGAAGAAAACACCAAGTTACATCATACAAACATCAGTTAATTAAAAATATCAAGTACAGAATTTGAATATGGTAAGGCAGTAGTTCTGTGCCGCCTATATCCTGCTCAAATCTTCATATCCAGGGTGTAGAGGAGGCCCTCTCTTGTACTGAGCACCACTACTCCATTGAGTAGTGCTAGTGATGATGCACCATACCCTGCACTATGTACACTGGGCAACTCATAGACACAATGTGTACGTACATTGTACACAGTACACATAATATACTCTGAGTCTGAACCCTCACCGGCAATGACTAGACTATCATCAGACAGTGAACATGCCCGGCTGAACTCCAGGTCTACACCATCTGGTTTTACAGCCTCTTGCCAGTGACCATCATCAGTGTACTGGAGGAAACACCCAGTGTTACCACCAATGATGTACGGTGAACCGTGACAGGCGACAAGTGAGGCAAGTGCACAGTCACATGGAAGAGCAGGTAGTGAATGTGAGGGGAGAGCAGAGGATTTCCACTGCTTGTCAAGCAGTGTGTAACAGCTAACACAAACACAGTCGCTCATACCTGATCTACTGGTGAAGCCACCTAGAAGACTAACACTAGTGTCAGTAGCATGTACAACACAGCCAAGGTGCTGGCCATGCGCCGGCGGCACCTTTGCTACTTCCACCCACTGCCTATCATGCTGATTGTACTGCAGTAGAACAGCTTGATCTTGGTTGTCATGACAATACATGTACAAAACCTGACCATTGCTAGCTAGGGATGGGTATTGAAATGGACCACCACGACGTGGAAGAGGAAGGTCAGTCCAGTGACGTACGTCTGTAGTCTGCTGGATGCTTGTAATGGCATAATCATCTTCACAGACAGCAACGAGAGTGTTGTTGTGGATGATGAGTTTTGGGGAACAACCACGAGTGGATTCTGCTTTGATCCACTAGAGAAGACACACACACACACACACACACACACACACACACGCATGCACACGTACACACACACACCCGCACACACACCCGCACACACATATCAGCCTCAGACACCTCAGACATGCCCATCGCGGAAGCGATGATAGCGAACAGCTATGTTAGACATAGCAACTGGTGCTGGGATTACACCATTCAACAGCTTGCAAGGCTGATGACCTGACCTCCACTAATTTTTAGCCTGGTATCCACCACACAGCTGATTGAAGTGGATTTTCCTGGCCAGTGAATCCCTATTTTTCATTTTTCATTTTTTCATTTTTTTTAAACACACACCACACCACATACTCCGGCATACACTGGCTGTTGGTAACCACCCAGGAGAATGAAAGAAGAGCAATGAGAATGAGAAAGAGAAGAAAGACGTGTGCGACCATAATCGTCGGGAATTGAACCCGCAAAATCTCGATTGGAAATCGACTGCACATACCACTGCACCATATGGGACACATATAGTCACACATACACACACACACACACACACACACACACACACACACACACACACACACACACACGCACACACACACACACACACACACACACACACACACACACACACACACACACACACACACACACACACACACGCACACACACACGCACGCGCGCGCACGCACCTCAGACCTCAGAGCTGCCCATCGCGGAAGCGATGATAGCGAACAGCTATGTTAGGCATAGCAACTTGTGCTGGGATTACACCATTCAACAGCTTGCAAGGCTGATGAATTGACCGCCACTATTTTTAGCCTGGTATCCACCACAGAGCTGATTGAGGTGACTTTTTCTGGCCAGTGAATCCCTATTTTTCATTTTTCAATTTTTTTCTTTTTTTCTACACACCACACCACATACTCTGGCATACACTGGCTGTTGGTAACCACCCAGGAGAATGAAAGAAAAGTCAGGAAGAGATCGAGAAAGAGAAGAAAAATGTGTGCGACCATAATCATCGGGAATTGAACCCGCAACCTCTCGATCGGAAATCGACTGCACATACCAATGCACCATATGGGACACCATTGGACCATTGGACGCCCATCGCCGGAGGCGATGATAGCGATGCTACAGCAGAAGCCATAGCAACTTGTGCTGGGATTGCACCATTCAACAGCTTGCAAGGCTGAAGAATTGACCGCCACTATTCAGCCTGTTCTACACCACACAGCTATGCAGTGGCTTTTTCTGGCCAGTGAATCCCTACTTTTTGGTCTTTTTTTTCTTTTCTTTTCTTTTTCCCCGCACACACATCACACCACATACTCCGGCATGCACTGGTTGTTGGTAACCACCCAGGAGAATGAAAGAAAAGTCAGGAAGAGTCTGAGAAAGAGAAGAAAAACGTATGTGACCATAATCGTCGGGAATCGAACCCGCAACCTATCGATTGGAAATCGCTGCACATACCACTGCACCATATGGGACACACACACACACACGCACACACGAGCACACACGAGCACACGCACAGATCACGCCCGCCCGCCCGCTCACACAAATCCGCTTAAAAATATTCCATTTAGATGCAACTATTTTTTCGGAAGGAAAACTACTTTATACTTCTAAGCCCAAGCTTCTAGAGCTCGAGCGGTTGCGTCATCTTCTGCAGAGAATAACTTACATTTTTTCTCTATACATTCACTAGTGACCATTAGGCCATCATTTTCTTTATCTATGTTTCGCGTCAGTTCAACTTCCAGAATCATATGCGAGAGGTGGAAAAAAATAATAAGTTGCAAAATAATAAAAAGGCTCATCAGAGGTGTATGCACTGTACATAGCACAATAGCTTGTGCATGGTGTACATTCGAAAGAAAAATCGTACATCAAAGCACAACATCTAGGTTAGCAGGATGAGTAAATATTCATTTTGGGCAGAGGAGGCAACCGTTGGTGCCTATGCTTCGCTGGATTATTGTACTCAGACTTCAGCAGCGGTGCAAAGAGCTCCGGAACGACGCATCCTCTCAGCTTAAGGCGATCAATGCGGTCTGGTGTAAGCTCATAGAATATTGCTCCCAGATGCCGAACAAATGATTTACCAACGCTGGCCTAGAGGCCATTTCTGAATCCCAGCTTTGCCGTATGCAACCAGTCCACACTGATGACTCGCACGATCGTACACTCGCTGTGCATGTTTGATTTTTTTTCCGAAAAAAATCAAAACGTATGCGTGCGGACGACGTGATACATAGCTATAAAAAATGATGGCCTTATACGGATGAATCGAAAAACCACCATCACTCTTCTTCTTCCACCACCTTTTTCTCGGACTAATCGAATGCACTGGAGTTGCCGCTTTAAGTCCTATCCTGTGCAGGCGCCTATTGATCTTTTGTTGCCCAAGCATTGGTCCGGTAGTTCCTGGACTACCGTATTCGCGCGATTAGTGACCCTGGGGCACTATATTTTCAATGTCCATCACTGATGGGGAACTATTGAGAAAGGGCATTATTCAAGAGAGGGCACCGTTTTTTTTCAATGCTGGTACACTTACGTCATTCCGCATAAAAACAAAGAAGACAAAGAAAAACAAAGAATGCAAAGAAAAACATAGCCTATAATGTAGCCTCAACAGAAAGGGCAACAAGAACTGCAATTTTGATCCTGAAACCACCAATTCAATGACATGGACAAGAACATTATCAAAAGAACACCAAACTATTACTTGCACATGCGCTTGGTTACAAGGGGGGGGGGGGCACTATTCAAGAGGGGGCTTTATTTCTTCACTGGCCCATAGAGACTGGGGCACTATTTGAAGATAGGATACTATTTAAGAGAGGGCTCTAATCGCGCCAGTTCGGTAGATGTGCAAAAGGAAATATACTCAGGTACGAATATGTCAAGGGCGGAATTGTGTTAGCATTTCATACGAGGGGGAAGAAGAAGTTTTTGTTCAGCCCTCTTCTTCGCGCCTTCCCCTCAGTACAGCTACTACTTTCATAGGAAAAACGCGATTTTTGCAGGTGTTGACGTGGGGCGGCATTCAGGTAGCGTCGTGCTCAAAAGGTGAAAAAAAAACGGTGAATTTCACTATCTTAATCATTCTACAATATCTACTTTCAGTGACGAGAGTTATGCTAGACACCCTTAGCAAACCACGGTAAAGCGGGATTCACAGAAGCTTTTTTGTGATGCGACACGCGATGCGACGCGATCTGCGATGGATGCGTGCGATGCGAACTCGCGAAATACCATTCACAGAAGAAGTCAGCGATGCAACATGGTCTTGCTGGCTTGGTTACGTCACCATGATATTCGCGCGGTTTGATACAACTTGTACAAATTTATAGGCAACTCTTGAACCTTTGTACAACTTTGCTGTAGAAAAGGTCAAATTCGTACGCCAAATCGCTTGTCGCATCGCATCGCAAAAGTTGAGCCAAGCTCAACTTCTGCGATGGCCTGCGATGGCCCAGTTGCGGCGGTTGCGTGGGCCGCGACATGGCTGCGATTTGGGGTTTTCCCGGTTTCGCGTCTGTCGCATCGCGTGTCGCATCGCAAAAAAGCTTCTGTGAACCCCGCTTAAGGCTTTTTTTTTACGGTGCTCATACCGTTATCACCCATTTAGCGTTGAAGCTGCAGAGGTAAAAACGTAATGGGGCATGATTTATCGTTGTGACAAACGGTACGTTTTCGGCCAAATATTGCGTAATGCGTACCCATTTCACCTTGTATCGTGTATACGGCGCCATAAATGGTTGTACCACACGAAATAAAAGCTATTCTCATGGCAACAGTGTGCTAAAAATAGTGTGCATCTTGTTAAAGGTCGAACCCAAATCTCTGTAATTTTCTCCTTTCGGTAATACCGTTAGAACATCACGTTTTTTGCTAAGGGTGTCTAATAACTCAAAGTAAATGTACGAAGGAACTTATTACCAACTGCTGTGTCGCTTGCTGATGGTGTGCTGTGGCAACGTGTCGAGGTCAGCTGGAGAGTGCAGTTGTGGTGCGGTGATTGACGAAAAAGCTTTAAACCGTTATAAAATATATTCGAATATCCCCAATACGGCTGTTCTCTTAGTATTCCAAGGATCAGATATAAAAAAAAATACACAGACGGAATATGTGCTGTACAGCCTTTTGCCTGCATTGTTTTGTGTCCATATATAGTATGCTATGTCTTTTTTCTTGATCATCTTGATTTTAATCTGGTTCCTCCTTGGACAATAATTATTATCTGACAATGAAAGTTTGGGGCACCAGGGACATGGTCTAGTGGTTGTTTTGATAATAACGAATTTCAAGTACTAATGAATAATGTTGAAAACGGATCTAAAAACATGGCACAGACCACGCTTCGGCAGGGCATTTCAGTTTTCTATCCACTGGCAGGGGTTAATACCTAGCCGGACCAGCTATACTGAGGGAGGACGTGATCCACACATTGAAATCATGGGGGGAAGGGAAGAGAAAAATTCCAAACACGTTATACCGTACCTTTCTCTCCCGTGTGATGCGCCGAATCTTGTCCGGTGTGAGAGTCAAGGAACGTGCGGCGGGTGCAGCAGAGTGTTGTCTAGACCTGTCACCAACCTACACATGTCAACAGGGTAGAACATGAATAACTGACCAGCATGCTCTACTCAAGTACTGTATTGCAATGGCAAAATGTATTTGTGATCTTGATGAGTTGCTTGTTGACTAGATAATGTTTTTATTATTACTATTTTTTATACAAAGAACACAAACCCGGCTCGAGAAAAAAAATAAGAACAAGAAAGATAACAAAGTTGCATGCAGGGAGAATGAAGAAACGACTAGAACACATAAGTTGTGGGTTGACAGAACAAACAACTATTGAGTCGGGGCTGACTACTAGTATCCACTAGTGCAGCTGTGTAGGTGTGAAGGTGTGCAGCTGTGTAGGTGTGAAGGTGGGGCGTTGTCAGAAGGTATTGTGTGATCATGATGAGTTTCTTGTGGACTGGACAATGTTAGAAGGTATTGTGTGATCAAGATGAGTTTCTTGTGGACTGGACAATGTTAGAAGGTATTGAGTGATCAAGATGAGTTTCTTGTGGACTGGACAATGTTAGAAGGAATTGTGTGATCATGATCAGTTTCTTGTGGACTATTTTTTAAAATGCACCAGTAATCAACGCAGCAGCACCAGTAGTCGCCGCAGCAGCACCAGTAGTCAACGCAGCAGCCACAGCAGTCGCCGCAGCAGCACCGACAATCGCCGCAGCAGCACCACTAGTCGCCGCAGCAGCACCAGTAGTCGCCGCAGCAGCACCAGTAGTCGCCGCAGCGGCACCAGTAGTCACCGCAGCAGCCACAGCAGTCGCCGCAGCAGCACCGACAATCGCCGCAGCAGCACCACTAGTCATACGCAGCAGCACGAGTAGTCGCCGCAGCAGCACCAGTAGTCACCGCAGCAGCACCAGTAGTCAATGCAGCAGCAGCACCAGCAGTCGCCGCAACAGCACCAGTAGTCGCCGCAGGGGCACCAGTAGTCAACGCAGCAGCAGCAGCAGCATTCGTCGCAGCAGCACCAAAAGTCACCGCAGCAGCACCAGTAGTCGCCGCAGCAGCACCAGTAGTCAACGCAGCAGCCACAGCAGTCGCCGCAGCAGCACCGACAATCGCCGCAGCAGCACCACTAGTCGCCGCAGCAGCACCAGTAGTCGCCGCAGCAGCACCAGTAGTCGCCGCAGCGGCACCAGTAGTCAACGCAGCAGCCACAGCAGTCGCCGCAGCAGCACCGACAATCGCCGCAGCAGCACCACTAGTCATACGCAGCAGCACGAGTAGTCGCCGCAGCAGCACCAGTAGTCACCGCAGCAGCACCAGTAGTCAATGCAGCAGCAGCACCAGCAGTCGCCGCAACAGCACCAGTAGTCGCCGCAGGGGCACCAGTAGTCAACGCAGCAGCAGCAGCATTCGTCGCAGCAGCACCAAAAGTCACCGCAGCAGCACCAGTAGTCGCCGCAGCATCACCAGTAGTCGCCGCAGCAGCACCAGTAGTCTACGCAGCAGCAAAAGTATTCGCCGCAGCAGCACCAGTCGTCACCGCAGCAGCACCAGTATCCGCCGCACCAGCACCAGTAGTCACCGCAGCAGCCCCAGTCGTCGCCGCAGCAGCACCAGCAGTCGCTGCAGCTGCACCAGTAGTCGCCGCAGCAGCACAAGTATTCGCTGCAGCAGCACCAGTAGTCACCGCAGCAGCAGCAGAAGTCACCGCAGCAGCACCAGTAGTCACCGCAGCAGCACCAGTAGTCACCACAGCAGCACCAGTAGTCACCGCAGCAGCACCACTAGTCACCGCAGCAGCACCAGTATTCGCCACAGCAGCACCAGTAGTCACCGCAGCAGCACCAGTAGTCACCGCAGCAGCACCAGTAGTCGCCGTAACAGCACCAGTTGTCACCACAGCAGCACCAGAATTCGCCGCAGCAGCACCAGCAGTCACCGCAGCAGCCCCAGTAGTCGCCGCAGCAGCACCATTAGTCGCCGCAGCAGCACCAGCAGTCGCCGCAGTTGCACCAGTATTCGCCGCAGCAGCACCAGCAGTCCCCGCAGGCGCACCAGTAGTCAATGCAGCAGCAGCAGTATTCGCCGTAGCAGCACCAGTAGTCGCCGCAGCAGCACCAGTAGTCACCACAGCAGCACCAGCAGTCGCCGCAGCAGCACCATGAGTCGCCGCAGCAGCACCAGTAGTCAACGCAGCAGCACCAGTAGTCGCCGCAGCAGCACCAGCAGTCGCCGCAGCAGCAGCAGTATTCGCCGCAGCAGCACCAGCAGTCCCCGCAGGCGCACCAGTAGTCACCACAGCAGCGCCAGCAGTCGCCGCAGCAGCACCAGTAATCACCTCAGCAGCACCAGTATTTGCCGCAGCAGCACCAGAAGTCACCGCAGCAGCACCCGTATTCGCCGCAGCAGCACCAGTATACACCGCAGCAGCCCCAGTAGTCGCCGGAGCACTACCAGCAGTCGCCGCAGCAGCACCAGTATTCGCCACAGCAGCACCAGTAGTTAACGCAGCAGCACCAGTAATCACCGCAGCAGCACCAGTAGTCACCGCAGCAGCACCAGTATTCGCCGCAGCTGCACCAGTTGCAAACGCAGCAGCACCAGTAGTCACCGCAGCAGCACAATCAGTCGCCGAAGCAGCACCAGTGTTCGCCGCAGCAGCACCAGTAGTCACCACAGCAGCACCAGCACTCGCCGCAGCAGCACCAGTAGTCACCGCAGCAGCACCAGTATTCGCCGCAGCAGCACCAGTATACACCGGAGCAGCCCCAGTAGTCGCCGCAGCAGTACCAGCCGTCGCCGCAGCAGCACCAGTATTCGCCACAGCAGCACCAGCAGTCGCCGCAGCAGCAGCAGCTGTATTCGCCGCAGCAGCACCAGCAGTCCCCGCAGGCGCACCAGTAGTCTGTGCAGCAGAAGCAGTATTCGCCACAGCAGCACCAGTAGTCGCCGCAGCAGCACCAGCAGTCGCCGCAGCAGCACCAGTAGTCGCCGCAGGAGCACCAGCAGTCTCCGCAGCAGCACCAGTATTCGCCGCAGCAGCACCAGCAGTCGCCGCAGCAGCAGCAGCTGTATTCGCCGCAGCAGCACCAGCAGTCCCCGCAGGCGCACCAGTAGTCTGTGCAGCAGAAGCAGTATTCGCCGCAGCAGCACCAGTAGTCGCCGCAGCAGCACCAGCAGTCGCCGCAGCAGCACCAGTAGTCGCCGCAGGAGCACCAGCAGTCTCCGCAGCAGCACCAGTATTCGCCGCAGCAGCAGCATTCGTCGCAGCAGGCGCACCAGTAGTCAACGCAGCAGCAGCAGCAGCAGCATTCGTCGCAGCAGCACCAGTAGTCACCGCAGCAGCAGTAGTAGTCACCGCTGCAGCACCAGCAGTCGCCGCAGCAGCACCAGTATTCGCCGCAGCAGCACCAGTAGTCGCCGCAGAAGCACCAGTAGTCGCCGCAGCAGCACCAGCAGTCGCCGCAGCCGCACAAGTAGTCAACGCAGCAGCAGCAACATTCGCCGCAGCAGCACCAGTAGTCACCGTAGCAGCACCAGTAGTCAGGGAGCAGCACCAGTAGTCGCCGCAGTAGCACCAGTATTCTCCGCAGCAGCACCAGTAGTCACCGCAGCAGCACCAGTAGTCACCGCAGCAGCCCCAGTAGTCATTCGCCGCAGCAGCACCAGTAGTCGCCGCAGCAGCACCAGCAGTCTCCACAGCAGCACCAGTATTCGCCGCAGCAGCACCAGCAGTCGCCGCAGGCGCACAGGTAGTCAACGCAGCAGCAGCAGCATTCGCCGCAGTAGCACTAGCAGTTACCGCAGCAGCAGCAGTAGTCACCGCAGCAGCACCAGCAGTCGCCGCAGCAGCACCAGTATTCGCCGCAGCAGCAACAGTAGTCGACGCAGCAGCATCAGTAGTCACGGCAGCAGCACCAGTAGACACCGCAGCAGTACCAGTAGTCGCCGCAGCAGCACCAGTAGTCACCGCAGCAGCACCAATAGTCGCGGCAGCAGCACCAGTAGTCACCGCAGCAGCACCAGTACTCACCGCAGCAGCACCAGTATTCGCCGCAGCAGCACCAGAAGTCACCGCAGCAGCACCAGTATTCGCCGCAGGAGCACCAGTAGTCACCGCACCTGATCCACACAGTGAAATCATGGGGGAAAGGAAGAGAAAAATTCCAAACACGTTATACCGTACCTTTCTCTCCCGTGTGATGCGCCGAATCTTGTCCGGTGTGAGAGTCAAGGAACGTGCGGCGGGTGCAGCAGAGTGTTGTCTAGACCTGTCACCAACCTACACATGTCAACAGGGTAGAACATGAATAACTGACCAGCATGCTCTACTCAAGTACTGTATTGCAATGGCAAAATGTATTTGTGATCTTGATGAGTTGCTTGTTGACTAGATAATGTTTTTATTATTCCTATTTTTTATACAAAGAACACAAACCCGGCTCGAGAAAAAAAATAAGAACAAGAAATATAACAAAGTTGCATGCAGGGAGAATGAAGAAACGACTAGAACACATAAGTTGTGGGTTGACAGAGCAAACAACTATTGAGTCGGGGCTGACTACTAGTATCCACTAGTGCAGCTGTGTAGGTGTGAAGGTGGAGCGTTGTCAGAAGGCATTGTGTGATCATGATGAGTTTCTTGTGGACTGGACAATGTTAGAAGGTATTGTGTGATCATGATGAGTTTCTTGTGCACTGGACAATGTTAGAAGGTATTGTGTGATCATGATGAGTTTCTTGTGGACTAAAGAACCATAATATGGCGAAACACTCATTACATTTCCACACAATCTCATACACATGGTCGTGACCGTGGAAGGTAGTGTCCCAATTTCTGGTCACAAATGTAGATATGTGTGCTTTCAGAGAAAAACACATTGGTGTTTCATATATAAAATGAACCAAAATTGCTCAAATCTATGGATTTTCATGCTTCTCTTTCTTTCACATGCATTTGAATCAAAAGTTAAAGGGGTTAAAAACGGACTTTGATGAATGAATACACTTTTTTGTTCCCAACAAGGCCCCTGCACAATCTTCTCAGCACCAAGGTCAAGGCGACAAATCTCGTACGCGTACGAAGCCTCGTAACCGTCCCCCCCCCCCCCAGCTTGACCCAGCAGCAAACCAGCTGGACCCAGCCGATGCAGATGATCCCCGGGACAGCAGTCAGGGCAGATCGACTTGGCCTCTGGCTCTGCACAGCACGAAACCCGTACCCGTACGGACGACCCCAGCTTGGTCGATCCTGAGCCTGTGCAATCAAACTGCAAGAAGAGCCAACCTATCCTGGCCAGCATCGAGGATGACAGTTGGAAATTAGTTGCCGCGGGCCCGCCAAGAAATAAGCCATCAGTGTTCCTTGTGGGCAACTTAAGCCACGACTGTACGGTGGACAGCCTCGATGAGTTTGCAAACCGTAGGTCAGAAAGCGTGAGGACGCCTGTCAAAGCCCACCAATGCAACCTACACACAGCCGGAAACGGGCAAGTGTCCGCAAGGATATCAGATGATGCCACCTCCAAGCTGACAGTGACGTCAGTCAATTTCTGGCCAAGGCCGCTCTACTGCAGGCCGTGGAGATTAGACACCTCCACAAATGCAAATGCAGCTAACAGCACCAGCCGAAGCAATATACACAGCCACAACAAGAACAACAACAGCAGCAGCAGCAGCAACAACAACAACACCAGCAGCAGCACCAGAAGTCGCCGCAGCAGTCGCCGCAGCAGCACCAGCAGTCGCCGAAGCAGCACCATTAGTCGCTGCAGCAGTACCAGCAGTCGCCGCAGCAGCACCAGTAATCAACGCAGCAGCACCATTAGTCGCTGCAGCGGCACCAGTAGTCAACGCAGCAGCCACAGCAGTCAACGCAGCAGCCACAGCAGTCGCCGCAGCAGCACCGACAGTCGCCGCAGCAGTACCAGCAGTCGCCGCAGCAGCACCACTAGTCATACGCAGCAGCACCAGTAGTCACCGCAGCAGCAACAGTAGTCACCGCAGCAGCGCCAGTATTCGCCGCAGCAGCACCAGCAGTCGCCACAGGCGCACCAGTAGTCAACGCAGCAGCAGCAGCATTCGCCGCAGCAGCACCAGTAGTCACCGCAGCAGCACCAGTAGTCACCGCAGCAGCAGCAGCAGTAGTCACCGCAGCAGCACCAGTAGTCACCGCAGCAGCACCAGTAGTCACCGCAGCAGCACCAGTAGTCATCGCAGCAGCACCAGTAGTCACCGCAGCAGCACCAGTAGTCGCCGCAGCACCAGTAGTCACCACAGCAGCACCAGTAGTCACCTCAGCAGCACCAGTAGTCACCGCAGCAGCACCAGTATTCGCCGCAGCTGCACCAGCAGTCGCCACAGGCGCACCAGTAGTCAACGCAGCAGCAGCAGCATTCGCCGCAGCAGCACCAGTAGTCACCGCAGCAGCACCAGTAGTCACCGCAGGAGCACCAGTAGTCACCGTAGCAGCACCAGTAGTCACCACAGCCGCAGCAGCAGTAGTCGCCGCAGCAGCACCAGTAGTCACCGCAGCAGCACCAGTAGTCACCGCAGCAGCACCAGTAGTCACCGCAGCAGCACCAGTAGTCACCGCAGCAGCACCAGTAGTCACCGCAGCAGCAGCAGTAGTCATCGCAGCAGCACCAGTATTCGCCGCAGCAGCACAAGTAGTCGCCGCAGCAGCACCAGTAGTCGCCGTAGCAGCACCAGTAGTCACTACAGCAGCACCAGCAGTCACCGCAGCAGCCCCAGTAGTCGCCGCAGCAGCACCATTAGTCGCCGCAGCAGCACCAGCAGTCGCCGCAGCACCAGCAGTATTCGCCGCAGCAGCACCAGCAGTCCCCGCAGGCGCACCAGTAGTCAGTGCAGCAGCACCAGTATTCGCCGCAGCAGCACCAGTAGTCGCCGCAGCAGCACCAGTAGTCACCACAGCAGCACCAGCAGTCGCCGCAGCAGCACCATAAGTCGCCGCAGCAGCACCAGTAGTCAACGCAGCAACCCCAGTAGTCGCCACAGCAGCACCAGCAGTCGCCGCAGCAGCACCAGTAGTCGCCGCAGCAGCACCAGCAGTCACCGCAGCAGCAGCAGTATTCGCCGCAGCAGCACCAGCAGTCCCCGCAGGCGCACCAGTAGTCAATGCAGCAGCAGCAGTATTCGCCGCAGCAGCAGAACCAGAAGTCAACGCAGCAGCACCAGTAGTCACCGCAGCAGCACCAGCAGTCGCCGCAGCAGCACCAGTATTCGCCGCAGCAGCACCAGTAATCGCCGCAGCAGCACCAGTAGTCGCCGCAGCAGCACCAGCAGTCGCCGCAGCCGCACAAGTAGTCAACGCAGCAGCAGCAACATTCGCCGCAGCAGCACCAGTAGTCACCGCAGCAGCACCAGTAGTCAGAGAGCAGCAAAAGTAGTCGTCGCAGGAGCACCAGTATTCTCCGCAGCAGCACCAGTAGTCGCCGCAGCAGCACCAGTAGTCAGGACAGCAGCACCAGTAGTCACCGCAGCAGCACCAGTAGTCGCCGCAGCAGCACCAGTAGACACCGCAGCAGCACCAGTAGTCGCCGTAGCAGCACCAGTAGTCACCGCAGCAGCACCAGTATTCGCCGCAGCAGCACCAGTAGTCACCGCAGCAGCCCCAGTAGTCGCCGCAGCAACACCAGCAGTCGCCGCAGCAGCACCAGTATTCGCCACAGCAGCACCTACAATTGCCGCAGCAGCAGCAGTATTCGCCGAAGCAGCACCAGCAGTCGCCGCAGGCGCACCAGTAGTCAGTGCAGCAGCACCAGTAGTCGCCGCAGCAGCACCAGTAGTCACCGCAGCAGCACCAGTAGTCACCGCAGCAGCACCAGTAGTCACCGCAGCAGCACCAGTAGTCACCGCAGCAGCACCAGTAGTCACCGCAGCAGCAGCAGTAGTCACCGCAGCAGCACCAGTATTCGCCGCAGCAGCACAAGTAGTCGCCGCAGCAGCACCAGTAGTCGCCGTAGCAGCACCAGTAGTCACCACAGCAGCACCAGTAGTCACGGCAGCAGCACCAGTATTCGCCGCAGCAGCACCAATAGTCACCGCAGCAGCACCAGTATTCGCCGGAGCAGCACCAGAAGTCGCCGCAGCAGCACCAGTAGTCACCGCAGCAGCACCAGCAGTCGCCGCAGGCGCACCAGTAGTCAACGCAGCAGCAGCAGCATTCGCCGCAGCAGCACCAGTAGTCACCGCAGCAGCAGCAGTAGTCACCGCAGCAGCACCAGCAGTCGCCGCAGCAGCACCAGTATTCGCCGCAGCAGCAACAGTAGTCGCCGCAGCAGCACCAGTAGTCACGGCAGCAGCACCAGTAGTCACCGCAGCAGCACCAGTAGTCGCCGCAGCAGCACCAGTATTCGCCGCAGCAGCAACAGTAGTCGCCGCAGCAGCACCAGTAGTCGCCGCAGCAGCACCAGTAGTCACCGCAGCAGCACCAGTAGTCACCGCAGCAGCACCAGTAGTCACCGCAGCAGCACCAGTATTCGCCGCAGCAGCACCAGTAGTCACCGCAGCAGCACCAGTATTCGCCGCAGCAGCACCAGTAGTCACCGCAGCAGCACCAGTATTCGCCGGAGCAGCACCAGAAGTCGCCACAGCAGCACCGGCAGTCACCGCAGCAGCACCAGTAGTCACCACAGCACCAGTATTCGCCACAGCAGCACCAGTAGTCACCGCAGCAGCACCAGCAGTCGCCGCAGCAGCCCCAGTAGTCGCCACAGCAGCACCATTATTCGCCGAAGCAGCACCATTAGTCACTTCAGCAGCACAAGCAGTCAACGCAGCAGCCCCAGTAGTCGCCGCAGCAGCACCAGCAGTCGCCGCAGCAGCACCAGTAGTCGCAGCAGCAGCACCAGCAGTCGCCACAGCAGCACCAGCAGTCGCCGCAGGAGCACCAATAATCAGCGCAGCAGCAGCAGCATTCGCCGCAGCAGCACCAGTGGTCAACGCAGCAGCACCAGTAGTCACTGCAGCAGCACCAGCAGCCGCCGCAGCAGCACCAACATTCGCCGCAACAGCACCACTATTCGCTGCAGCAGCACCAATAGTCACCGCAGCAGCACCTGTAGTCGCCGCAGCAGCACCAGCAGTCACCGCAGCAGCACAAGTAGTCACCGCAGCAGCACCAGTAGTCGCCGCAGCAGAACCAGTAGTCACCGCAGCAGCACCAGTAGTCACTGCAGCAGCATCACTAGTCGCCGCAGCAGCACTAGTAGTCGCCGGAGCAGCACCACCAGTCGCCGCAGCAGCCCCAGTAGTAGCCGCAGCAGCACCATTAGTCGCCGCAGCAGCACCAGTACTCGCCGCAGCAGCACCAGCAGTCGCCGCAGCAGCACCAGCAGTCGCCGCAGCAGTAGCGTAAGTAGCCTTGCAGAAGAGACAGCAATCCTCCAGCAGGCAGTAGACTCACTGGCAGCATGGGGAAGCAGGTGGAAGATTAAGTTCGAGCCCACAAAGTCGCTGGCATTCGCCATCAGCCGCCACTGCTCGCCAACCCCCACCCCCGAACGCTATACGCTTCCAAGGAGCAGTCGTACCAGATGTAGAGGAGCTCCAGCTTCTTGGCGTCACTTTCGACAGGCAGCTGGCATTCCGCATCCATATCCAACAGCTTGCAGTACGCGCAGCCCAGCGGCTTGGCTTCCTCCTGAAGGCATCGGCTGTACTACACCCAAAGTACCGGGCAACCGTGTACTGTGGCTTTGTCCGCCCTGTGTTAGAGTATGGCATGGTGGTGTGGATGAGCGCGGCCCCCACCACCTTGGCCCGCCTCACTGCCATCCAGCGCCGTGCCCTACACATAATTGGAGATGGATCATACCTCCCGAGCCTCGACATTCGACGTACCATAGCAGGGCTCTGTTTCCTGTACAAGCTACACTTCGTGGAGGGTCCGGAAATGTTGAAAGCCATTCTGCCACCATCAGCAGCCGCACTGCAATGCCGCATGTCTACACTTGAGACAACCAGATCTGCAACACATTATCCATCACAACTCACCAGTATCCTTCCTCCTCAGTCACGAAACAACACACTCCGCTCATTTCCCCACCCCCTCATCGCAACGTGGAATCAGCTCCCACCTACCCTTCTGCAATCTCCCCCTTCTCGCAGAGGTATGCACACCGTCAAGAAAAATGTCAACGACCACTTGCGGCGCAGCAAGTGGGAGTGGGCCACAGACAGGTTATGATCTCTCCATCGCCGCCAACACACCAGCCTAGTATACTGATCTCACTCCAGGTCCCTTCTACCTCTCTCTGATCACCTTCGCTCAGCCTTAATATGCGATTATCAGTTCTCTCCATCTTCCTATTTCCACGGTGCACTGCTTTTACTATTGTTATGTCCTATCTCAACCTCAAATTCTCCCCATTATCGTTTGCACAGCCGGTGCTTCCCTCTTGGATCCACAATCATGTTCTTTTCTCCTATGTACCGGCACACATGAGTAACGATGAATCCGAGACCTTTGGTCGGATGAGTAACTTTTGCCCAGCCCCCACTTCCATCCAATATGCCACCGTCCTCGCTGTGCCGCATCTGATGGTTCTGTGGTACCGGATTTTCCCCAATAAATGCACAGTACTTTTATTTTTTCAAAGGTGGTCAGACCTGTACTACTATAGGAGACTGTACTAGTATTGGAGACGTGTACTTTTATTATTTCTGGAAAGATTGATTGCCTGAGTTTGGTGGCAAACAACTCGTGATAATGATACTGTAAGGCTGTAAATTCACTCCACCATAGTAAGAATCAGTGTACAAAGACACAAAGATGATGAACGGGTAAGAAGAACGAAGTAAGGTGGACCCTGGTAGCTGTACCCCAGTAGTGTTCATCACATCATTCCGGCATTTACTCTTATTAGAGACGTGTTATTTTATATTTTTTATCCATGCTCAACATGTACTACAATTGGAGACGTACTAGTATTGGAGACGTACTAGTATTGGAGACGAGTATGTTTAATGGGAAAAATATTGTATTCAGTAAAAAAAACACACACACACACATTCTTACCTGTACTGTGGAGCGAAGTTGTGATAGCTGATCATTCACCCGTCTGTTGGTCTCATCTAGCTGCTCACTGATGGATGCACGTAGGTCTGTCTGTTGACTGGCAACTACGGCTACATGTCCTTGCAGGCTGGTGACTTGTTCGGTCGTAGTCTCCAGTCGGTCACGGATCCCAGTCACTTGTTGGTTCGTAGTCTCCAGTCGGTCACGGATCCCAGTCACTTGCTGGCTCGTAGTCTGCAGTTGGCCACGGATAGCGTTGGTTTCCAGCTGAGTGTCGACAAGACGCTGTGTTATGCTGCTGAGTTGGTCCTCTACTGCAGAGCTGCGTGCGGTGATGTCAGCAATGCATGTAGCTTGCTGGCTTAGCTGCTGTGAAATCGACTCTAGTTGCCTGGTAACCGCTGTACCAGCAGTGCTAGGCTGACTCTGTACAACATCATCAAATATACACATAGCAGACGGAGGGACAGACAGGGGGACAGACAGAGGGACAGACGGAGGGACAGACAGGCAGACAGACAGACAGAAAGAAATGCATAGAGGCAAAATAGGTAAACGGATAGAGAGACAGATACACACACAGGCAGACATTCTCCAAGAAACTCAATGTACATCAATGTGTGTTTGTACGCATCTCAAAGTTGCATATCAAGCACAATACATCATCAACAGTAATAGATACCCGTGTATACATACACTGTATGAAGACCTTCAAGTTTGCTGCATTCATTTTACCTAGCATACACACTGACAGTGAATGGGTAAAAAAAACATTCGTGAGCACGTGACTGTTTCTTTGCAGTTCATACTAGTACTCAGTCATGTAGAGGAGACGGCTCGATACCGGGACGTTTTGACAGCCAAATTTGTATAGACCCAAACCGATCATCAGCGTTGATTTTTCACTCGAAATATGTTTGTGGAAGGAAACTGGCATGTTGAAGTTTGCTCTGGGGCCAGAGTCAATCGAACTGAGCCACTCCTTTGTGTTGACCCATTGCCTCCAGTTGCCCAATTTTTCGCTTCAAAAAAGTTCAAATCAGAGGTGGCTCCAAACCGGACACGTTTTAGAGTGCCCGTCAAATTCACTCTGGGTCTGAAATTAGGTAATTGCTATCGCTCCACGACGGCCAGTACAGAGTAACAATAAGCCTTGTGTGTGCTTCCATTAGTTTTGATTGGTATGCGGTGCTTTATTGGCGAGAGGCGAGCCGCTGTTTACCTGCGACAAGAAGTTGATTTTTCGAAAGTCGTAAAACTCAAGTCGCAGTGCGAAGCAACACGTCAAAAACTCACCTGCTTGATATGGCGCTTCTGGTCATCGCAGAGCCATGCAATTTTGGCTCGGAGTATAACACATCGTAGTCTCACTGTGACATATGTTTTCTAATCAAAATACCAAGAGAGAAAGTGAATATTGAGTCCGTTCCGGTTTGCAACCGGTGTCCTATTTGAAACCGTCCCCTCTACTCATGAAATAAACGTTTAGGTCACATTCGATTACAAACAACACATAATTGCTCACCGGCAAAATACTGTTGAACATGGCCAAGAAACGTTTGATCTCTTCGTGCGCTTGCTCGGCTGACGGTCGGTCCCCAGGACGGTTAGAGAGACAGCGGCGTATCAATGGCTTTGTGGTGACTTTAGCAGTTCCCATACCTGTAACTTTTCCGTTTTCACTCCTGGGTTTTCCATAAGCGGTGACTTTGATTTTTATGGCCATTTTCCGGAATTATAATGTGTACGCTACTTCCGGTTCAGATTCCAGATTGTACGCATATATCCCATCATGCATCCTAGTATTTCGCCAGGCATTTATACCGTAGCGTATCTGTATATAGGACATATACACACTGTCACTGTACTATGTCATTACTACACATGTACACCCTTTTCCTTACTGGCCAAGACATTCTCAACCTAGAGCTTTAGGCCAGTAGATAGTTTGGTTTCATCGAAGGCAGTTGCCTTTCTATCTCTCTTTCATTGCTTTGTCAATATTACAGTAATAATACAACTCTATCGATTTACGCCATTTGTGTGCGTTTTAAGAGTTGTGCTAGGGCTAGGACCCTACATTGGTGACCCCGTTCTATTTTTTTTTGCAGTATTGCGTTTGTGCGCGGATCGCGTTCGTAGTTCTCGATCGAGTCTGTCATCGTTTATATCACAGCACCATCTGAACATGTCGAATCCTGTCACCCCACAACGCGGTACAGGTGCGGGCCTTGGCCGAGCTAACGCACTTTCGAGGTCTCTGTCGGCACAGCAGCGCCCGCGCCCTGGCCAGAACACAGACCAAGTGCAACCAGCAGCCGTTCATGCCGTTGCCATCAAGCTGCCACCGTTCTGGCCCCACGACCCGCACATTTGGTTTGCCCAAGCTGAGGCGATGTTCAATACGCGGCAGATCCGGACCGAGCGGACTAAATTCGACCACGTTGTCAGCGCCTTGGCCCCTGAGTTTGTGCAGGAAATCAGAGATCTCGTGTTGCGTCCTCCTGCCTTGAATCCGTACACAACGATAAAGGATCAGCTGATCAAAAGGACCGAGATATCCGAGCAAGCCAGGCTACGCAAGCTCCTGTCTGACGAGGAACTGGGAGATCGCAAGCCATCCCAGTTCCTTCGAAAACTCCAGCAGCTCTTGGGAGGTGCTTCGCTGGACAATAGTTTCCTGCGGGAACTGTTCCTGCAGCGTCTACCTGCCTCAGTAAGGATGGTGTTGGCCTCCGCCAGCAGCACGATGGACCTCGCCAGCCTGGCCTCCATGGCAGATAGAGTGATGGAAGTTTCCTCTGCTCCTCCGCCCGTGGCCGCAGTAGTAGTGGCTGAGGAACACATGGACCGGTTAGACGCCCTCCAGCTGCAGGTTGCCGCACTGACCGCTGCAGTGGACAAGTTGTCTGCGCCCCGTGCGCGCTCCCGACCCAGCTCGCCTGAGCGGTACACAGCGCGCTCACGCCAGGCCTCACCTGCACGTGCTGATAGTCGCAAGTCACACCTCTGCCGCTACCATGCTAAGTTTGGCGATAAGGCTCTGAAGTGCGACCATACCTGTAGCTACTGGCCGGGAAACGCGCAAGCCAGACATTAGTGGCGCAAGTGTCTGGTACGAATACCTCTAGCCGCCTACATGTCCGAGATCGTATTGCTGGTGCTCTATACCTAGTGGATACAGGAGCTGCTGTGAGTGTTGTTCCGCCAACCAGGGCGGACATACGTCAGTCAGCACAGTTTACTCCCCTCCATGCAGCCAATGGCACCACTATCCGGACATATGGCCAACGTTCCCTGACCTTGGACTTTGGCCTCCGGCGGCATTTTACATGGGTATTCATTGTGGCGGACGTAACGCAACCCATTCTGGGAGCAGACTTTCTTGGACATTTTCACCTGCAAGTGAGCATCGCCCACCAGGAGTTGCGGGATGAAGTGACCAGTTTGCACGCTCTGGGTTCGATCAGCGTGGCCACACCTGAGCCACCGATCAGTACTATACCCCCTGCTGCACCATCCGCGTTCACCTCATTACTGGAGGATATCCCTGAGGTCGCCCAGCCACCCAGGTATGACCAGCCAGTCAAGCACACCGTCAGCCACCACATTGAGACAAGTGGACCTCCAGTATTTGCGAAAGCCCGCCGACTCGCACCGGACCGTCTTGATGTCGCCAAGCGTGAGTTCCAGCACATGATGAATTTGGGCATCGTTCGGCCATCCCAGTCCACATGGGCCAGTCCGCTGCACATGGTACCTAAACCTAATGGCGACTGGCGTCCATGTGGCGATTACCGTGCACTGAATCAGAAGACGATCCCAGATAGATACCCGATTCCCCATATCCAGGATTTCACAGCAGATCTGAATGGGGCTCGCTACTTCACGAAACTGGACCTTATCCGTGCGTATCATCAGATCCCGGTTGCCGAGGAGGATATTCCTAAGACAGCAATCATCACCCCGTTTGGGCTATTTGAGTTCACCCGCATGCCGTTCGGCCTCCGCAACGCGGCCCAGTCCTTCCAGCGGTTCATCGACCAAATCCTGCGCGATTTACCATTTTGCTATGTATACATCGATGACGTGCTCATCGCCAGTCCGGATCTGGAAACACACCGGCAGCATGTTCGACAAGTCCTACAACGGTTGCATGATCACGGTCTCGTCATCAACCCCAGTAAGTGCGTGTTTGCTGCCGACTCACTGGAGTTCCTTAGCCATGTTGTTTCCGCTGACGGCATCCAGCCAACCCCTAATCGTGTCACGGCCATTAACGAGTTCTCCCGGCCCACAAGTTTGAGGCAACTCCGGCGTTTCCTTGGCATGGTAAACTACTACCGGCGGTTTATTCCCCAAGCAGCGCAGCTGGTTCGTCCACTCACCGACATGCTAGCAGGTAAACCTAAGTATTCCTCTGCTTTCCCCTGGACTGACGCTACCGAGTCTGCCTTCGCCGCTGCTAAGTCGGCAATCGCATCAGCTGTGATGCTCACGCATCCCATTCCGTCCGCACCACTAAATTTGATGTGCGATGCCTCGGACACTTGTGTGGGTGCCGTCTTGCAGCAGTTCGTGAATGAGGAATGGCAGCCGCTCGCTTTCTTCAGTAAGAAACTCACCGCTCCTGAGTGTCGCTACGCAACGTTTGGCCGTGAACTGCTGGCTGTCTACTTGGCAATTAGGCACTTCCAGCACTACCTGGAAGGCCGTCCCTTCCATGTACTCACCGATCACCGATCACTGACCCATGCCATTCGTTCTCCGTCCTCCAAGCATTCCCCGCGGGAGGCTCGTCAGCTGGGATACATTTCGGAGTTCACTACTGACGTCCGCTATGTGTCCGGTCCCAGCAATCCTGTTGCCGACGCTTTATCGCGCGTCCATGCAGTTACCGCACCGCCGACAGTTGATTTCTCAGCGCTGGCTTCTGCACAAGCCGTGGATGCCGAACTCCTCCAACTGCGCGGCCAACCTGACTGCAGTCTTCAGTTCCGGGAGGTGACTCTTCCCTCCGCCACCCTCCCAGTAGTTTGCGACATGTCCACTGGCAAACCCCGGCCGTTCCTGCCGCCCGGTTTCCGACAGTGCGCCTTTGAGTCATTGCATCAGCTTGCTCATCCGGGAATAAAAGCTTCGCGCAAGTTAGTCGCGGATCGCTTCGTATGGCCTGGCATGAATGCAGACGTCGCCAACTGGACCCGTGCCTGCTCTGACTGTCAGCGTGCTAAGATCCACCGCCACACCAAAGCTCCGGTATGTCCAATCCCTATGGGTGATCGATTCGCCCACATCCACGTTGATTTGGTCGGTCCCCTGCCCACGTGTCAATCGGCAACATATCTGTTCACCTGCATTGATCGTTGCACCCGCTGGGTTGAAGTGCTGCCTCTCGCTGACATTACCGCCGTATCAGTATGCAAGGCCCTGTTGTCGGTATGGATTGCTCGCTTTGGCATCCCCTCTACCATCACGTCTGATCGAGGTGCGCAGTTCGAGTCGATCCTGTTCCGCCACCTCTCGCAGGCCTTGGGTTGCCAACACCTCCATACCACGGCCTACCATCCTCAGGCCAATGGTATGGTGGAACGGTTTCATCGCCAGCTCAAGGCCTCGCTCCGCGCTCTACCCGATCCGGCTTTCTGGGTCGACCATCTGCCGGTCATTCTGCTCGGCATTCGGTCTGCCATCCGGGTCGACACCCAGTTGAGTTCGGCCGAGATGGTCTATGGCTCCTCCTTGCCCCTCCCAGGCCAACTCCTCGGTGCCTCCGCCCCGGTGTCCGACATCCCATCCACTGGTGCGGACTACTTCCGCCGACTGCAGGATGCGATGCAGAGTGTCACACCGATCCCGACCCGTGACGTCGACGCACGTGGGTATTTACCAGTCGCTTTAGCATCAGCCGAGCGGGTATACCTACGCAACGACGCTGTCCGGCGGCCTCTGCAGGCTCCGTACGATGGTCCATTTGCTGTGCTCCGTCGATCTGCCAAATATTTTGTGCTGGATGTAAAGGGTCGGCCGGTAACCGTCTCCATTGACCGCCTCAAGCCGGCACATGTCTTGGAGTAGTGTTGCAGTCCCTGCTACAGTCTCATTCCTGGTCGCTCACGACCCACATTTTTTCTTCTTCCTTTTTTTACTATGGAGTCGTGCTCTAGGAGGGGGGTAATGTGGTGACTTTAGCAGTTCCCATACCTGTAACTTTTCCGTTTTCACTCCTGGGTTTTCCATAAGCGGTGACTTTGATTTTTATGGCCATTTTCCGGAATTATAATGTGTACGCTACTTCCGGTTCAGATTCCAGATTGTACGCATATATCCCATCATGCATCCTAGTATTTCGCCAGGCATTTATACCGTAGCGTATCTGTATATAGGACATATACACACTGTCACTGTACTATGTCATTACTACACATGTACACCCTTTTCCTTACTGGCCAAGACATTCTCAACCTAGAGCTTTAGGCCAGTAGATAGTTTGGTTTCATCGAAGGCAGTTGCCTTTCTATCTCTCTTTCATTGCTTTGTCAATATTACAGTAATAATACAACTCTATCGATTTACGCCATTTGTGTGCGTTTTAAGAGTTGTGCTAGGGCTAGGACCCTACAGCTTCAATGGATGTTCATCCGGCAAACGTGCTAGGTA